CCGGCCGGAAACAGGTTCCCCGCGGCTGCTGCACAGGAGCAGCGCACCTTGGCGTCAAAAACCCCTCTGCTGGGGTGGGCGGGATCCTCTCCTGCAGGAGCCGTGTGCCAGAAGAGCATCGTCATGGGGGACTCCCATGCCACCCAGGCTGAGTCCTGCAGGCCTTAAGATCATAGATCATAGAGTTGCCTAAGCTGGAAGAGACCTTAGAGATAATTTTAACCCAGCCTCCCTGCCGCCAGAGACACACACCACCTCTCGACTAGATCAGGCAACACATGGGGACCGAACAGGAATCGAACCCGTGACCTTCGCGTTGTTAGCGCCACGCTCAACTGACTGAACCAACCAGCCCCCTGACATAACCTTGCTAATTATGACTTCACCAGAGAAACCCAGAGAGGGGAACAAAGGGAAGCCGTGCAATTCCTACCCCGGGCTCCAGCTGGTCTGGTAACAGCTGGCTTCAACAGAAACCACTTCCCAGCAGGATCTGCTTCTGCAGGGCTTGGGATTTTTGATTTTTTTTTCCTCCTGGCTTTAGAAAGAAAAGTTAGGACATGTTCATGGTTCAGGAGCACCAAGCACACCTCAGTGGAACAGAACACCTTCTTACCAGCACCTTCACGTCATAGGATGGTCTGGAGCAGGGGATGGGCAAGGATGTATCTGGTTGTCAGATTCCCACACTCCTCCAAGTATTTGGCTTGTGGCAGTTTTGAAGGGGCTTAAGCCCACAGCTGTGCCACCTTGTTTGCCCAAGGTGATGCCCAAAGAGAAGGCCAGGCACGAATCCACAACCAGGTTTAATCCACAAACTCATCCTTCTTCCTCCAGCAGACAAGCTGCAACATGCCTCTTGCACAAAACACACCTACCTGTTTTCACCTTTGGAAAAAAATCAAAAAAACATCCCAGACAACTCAGGACAACTTAGACCAGGTTTCATAGTTAAGCTCACAGAATTTTATTTACATGACACTAGTCTCACAGAAATTATTCTGGATTTTCATTAAAGCTGCTGGTGGTTCTGGGGACTCCTGTTTTGGCAGAGCTCACCTCACACTCAGGCTTTCACCCATGGGATGACCATGTCCCTCAAGCACCCACAGCCCTGTTCTAGCCTCGCTGTACACAGCAAGTACGCAAATCCCCTCCCACAGCTGGTGGCTGTTGGGCACCCCCTTTCCCACCACAGCACCACAAAGTCAGATCATGCTAGAGTTGTGTCAGCAGCCCCTACACCCCCAGACCTGTGGTTTCTGGAAGCGAGCCCAAATGGCATATACCTGACACAGGGAACAACTTTTCATCCCCCTTCTGAGTTTTGCCCTAATAGGGCTCTTCTACATCCACAGACATCATCTCTGGGTGCATAGCAAGACTTCAAGAGCGAAGTTTTACAGAAGCTACCGTAAAGCCAAAGCCTTGCTAAAACAGAGTTTGAGAGTAACTGCACTGTCAGTGCCCATTTTAAAAAACAAGAGCTCCTCAAGCACATCCTCCTTCTAGGTAACTTAAAGATCTGGTGTAAAATAAAAATATCAACCAAAGCAAAGCTAAAAACAGTAAGGACAGACTGTCATGCTGGATCAGTGTAAATAAGGACAGAAGCATGTATTTAAATGTTTTTATTTCAACTAATGCTTTGCCACCATATTACATCACTTTGTATAGCTTGGAATAGCAATATGATCTCAAAATATAGCAAATGGCTTGCCAAAGCAAGATAATATTAAATCCTATGGATACAGCATCTTCCTTCTTTGGCGACAATGCTTCCTTTTATCTGTAAAAATAGTTTTATGTTCCAGCACATTTGCTGTTCAGTTTATTGAACCCTGCTGTTCATAACATTTGCCTCTTCCCTGCACAAAACCTCCCCACAATGCAGTATGGTTTTATATCCAACAGCATTTTAAATAAAAATGTTATAGTTTTCATGCAGATTTTTGTAAAAATTATTTTCTAGGTGCACAGAACTGAACCAAGATGCATACAAAAATGCATTCACTTCCATTCTCGGGTGTAGCTGTGCCATCAGTAACATACCTTGTTACTGAGCAAGAGGTCCAAGGATGGTGGTATTCTCATACATATGATAACTTTAAAAAAACCCAAACCAAAATAGCTGAGAAAAAAAACACAAACCAGTAAGAGAAAAAACTGCCATGCTTTACTTGTAATCAAAATAGTCAGATATATAAAAAAGCACCATGTACAGAGAATACCAAAGGAAGATCCATCTTCCTAATTTCTCATTTAGCATTGTGAGCTGGCCTGCAGGTCCCAACTTGTACTGCAGCTTTACTTGCAAAGTTAAGGAAGTGGTTAAATCTAGAATATGCTTGGACCGTATGATAGAACTTAAATGGGCTGCAGATAGAAATTAGATTTGTTTCCATTACAACCACCTTATAGGCCTCAGGGGTAAAAAACACGCACAAAGTATCTGAGAAATAATGGAATGAAAACAGCTCCAGAGCAATATTGCAAGATGCAGGTCTGTTATGAATGCATTTCTGTGAGCTCTTGATAAGTTAAACTTTCCTTTGGGAAAAGAGCATGTCTGTTGGTTAAAACTCCTCTCCCTGAGAATTTTGGTAAGAGTTTGTCTTGCAAAGCAAAACAAAGTCCTTTGAACTTCAACAGTTCCTAGGCCAACAGCATTTCAACGTGATCACAGCTGATCTGCTACTCATGCACCCAGAGTGGCAGGTTGGGCTTTTGTTGCATTCTGCTTTTTTTTTTTTTTCTTTACATGAATCAACCCTTTTATACTCGCTTCATTCCTCTGCCCATCAAGCAGGCGAACACAGTCATGACCATCTTCGGTTTCACCTCCACAAGATCTTCTGGAAGAGCATAAACTCTGGCACCAATTCTTCTCGCCATGGATACAGCATACCTATTCACCATGGAAAGATAATCACGTCAGAACAAAGACTGCTACTAATAAATGAAAAGTCAGCTCCTGCCCTATCCAACACAATTTCACCTATTATCCTCTTTATTAAGACTCAAGACACAACAGTCCAATCACACCACGTCTGTTTGTTTTATAAAAGTTTTTTTGATATTTTACTGTATTCCTTTTCCAGAGTAAAGTGTCTTTAATGTGCAAATTGACCTTTGAATGTCAAGTCCACTTTACTAACAGTTAAAAAAAAAGTAATTAGTATTTGTTAGGGCTGATAGACAGCAGGTATAACCAAGGAAGAATCAGCTAACGTTTACATTTCCCCTTCTGTTTGCTCTGGAAGAATAATAATCAGGTGAGACTACTATCTGCAGGAAACTTTGCTGTCGTTCTGCCACTATAGAACAGTTGCAGAACACATTTTGAAGTCATGTTTTAATAGGCATACTTTAAACATGTCAACCTCTGATGATTTAACGAGATATGAGACATACAAGGGTTCAATTTCAAAACCCTGAACTGCTGGCCATGCACTTCACAGGCCTGATCAAACACATGAGAAACAGAATGTTGTTGTTCAGAACTGTTTGGGCTGTGCTGCATTTCTCTCAACGAGCAAGAGTGTTCAGCCAAGTACTCCCTCTAGCATTACGGGCAACGACAGCAATTAGATTTCAGGAGGAGCTGCCTGTCTAAAAGGTACAGGATTAAAAGAAATTTAAAACCCCAGTAATAAACTGGTAGAACCACTTGCACCTTAAAAGCCAGCGCATAGAAGGTGCGCTCTTCCAGTTCAAAACAGATTTTGAGATAGCAAACTTACTTAGCATTATTTTGTTTGTCATCTTCTGATAGATGACCAGTCTTTACAAGGTCATAGTTGATACAACCAGGCTGTATAGCATCAATTAAATCCACCACCGCCAAGCTCGAGCTGATAGTCTTGTCCTAGACAACACAGGACAAACAAGTAAAAGATGAACATCCAATCCTTAAGGCATACTTCTTACCTCAATTCAGCTGCTCTGCAACATGCAATAAAACAAGATTTAAACAAGCCATTTCAAGGCAGTTGTGTTAGTGATTACTTCCAGCTGGACCACGGGGAAAATCTAACTGCTGCTTCTCCTTTGATAATAGTTCAAGATCATTACTCCAATTTACACTAAGTGCTCTGAAAACTGATGTGCAGGTGGTAGGTCTGCCCCACTGACCAGTCTCCAAGGGCCAATGCTCACCTACGAATGCTTGCCAGCTCCAGCCCCTGTGCTTGCCAGCATTTCAGACCCCACCTCTGGCCCAGAGCCTGACCACCCCACCATCAGCTCTCTTGTCCCACTGTTATTCCCCACTGTTGGCAGTCCTACAAAGTCTCCTGTAAGACACATTGTTCCCAGCACAGACAGAATTCTGCTCCGTTTAAATCCCTTGCTAAGGTGCCCCTGCTGTTTCTCCAGCCAAGGAGATACTTTTTGGGCACTCCTCTCCTTTTGGATGCAAGAGGGGAACATGCACCTTGAAGTTCTGGATGGAGGTGGGCTTGCCAGCTTCTTTCAGGGTCTGGTTTACCCAGTTGACTATAATGTCATCATTAGCTTTCTCACCGTCACCCAGGTCCTCAAGGACATTCAGCGTGTACCTGAGAACCAGCAGAGAGAAGAAGATTAGACACAAAGTTTGGGCAAAGTCGTAGTGAGCATGCAGCCAAATGAACGGGAGCTCATGGCAGCTTGGAAAGTCTTCACATAGTCTCAGTTCTGTTCATTTGGTTGGTTTGGGTTTTTTTTAACTCCTTTAACAAAAAGGAAGAATCATCTATCTAACCTGAAGTGTGATTTCTCTTAAAGCATTTAGTCTTTCTAGCCTTTCAAGTCCTTTAATATGGGCTCAAAAAAATCACCTGGGCTCAGTACACTTGTGAAACTGTTTCACAACTGACCATTTGGTCTACTGGGACAACACATTAAATGGTAACATAAAAAAAAAAATTGCTAGTTTCCAGGTAAAACTTGAAAGGAGATTTTAGTGAAGTCGGTGTCTGTCTCTTTTCCCAAGTAACTAGTAACAGGACAAGAGGAAATGGCCTCAAGTTGTGCCAGGGGAGGCTTAGATTGGATATCAGGAAAAATTTCTTTGCTTTTAAGCATTGGAATAGACTCCCCAGGGGAGTAGTTGAGTCACCATTCCTGGAGGTATTCAAAAGATGTGCAGATGAGGTGTTTAGAGACGTGGCTCAGTGGTGGACCTCGTATTGCTAGGTTAACAGTTAGACTTGATGATCTTAAACATCTTTTCCAACCTAAACGATTCTATGATTGTATAAAAGGTGTAGATCGCCTTATGAGTTAGCATTCTGACCTTTAATGCCAAATATGGAGCTACCATACAGCTATATTGCAGATATATGTTTTCATCATCTTAGAATTCTTCAGAAATAGACAAAAAAAAAAAAGGACGATCAACTTTATCGGTTATCTTCTTCACTCCATTCCAACGCAGAAGGGGGTTATAAGGCAGCGCTGGAATGTTTCACTCTCAATTTCCAATTAAAAATGAGAACACAAAAGTTATCTTAATGTTCCTGCTTAGGGTTTCTGCACGTGGATCACACTTTACCAGACAGGAAAGAGGTGATCCTGGTCAGGAGGATGTTCAGAGATCTACCACCAGGTTCTCCAGAGGTCTCTGCTCCAGCCTCCGATGTGCAGCAACATCAGCTCTGCCACCATTTTGTCCAGCTACATCTCAGAAATTCACTGAGGACAGAGGTTTTACAATCTTTTGGGGTGACCTGTTCCAGTGATGCACTGCTCTCATGGCGAAAAACTTCGCAAACTCTGTGCTCCTTTCCCAAGTTTTACATGTTTGAGACAGGTCTTACCTTCTCATCAACTGCCAGACCAAAGCCAGTGTCAGTGTTGGGTTTCCGTCATTCAGATCCTGTCCTCCAATACCAACCAGGGAGAATTTAGCTGGATGCTTTCCCAAGTCTACAGCGTAGTTACAGTTTTCTAGCTACACAGGAAGAGTTTAAACAGAAAATAATTTACACATGCACTCACTTGACTGGAAGACTCAAACAGGAATTTTTAGGCTCCATGGCTTTTTAAAGTCTTTTGCAATGCTTACCTTTTTCATATTTGCTCCAAGCTTAGGGTAAGGAGGCTTGTTAACCTTATTCCAGTCAACAGGAACTTTGATCTTTTCGTATAATTGTAGTATTACCAATGCGTCTTGGAGATCACTAAAAGAAAACTTGATTAAGCCTAATGTTTCAAGATTTAAACATACTCTGACTTTGTCACATCATGAATAATTATTACTAGTTACAGGTTGTTGCAGTTTCAACAACCCTAAAAAGAAAAAAAATGCAAAACATTTTCTAGTTTTAAGGGCAGGAGAAATGCCCCATGCTTAACATTAGCTAGCGTGAGCTAAAGCAGGTTTTAGCATGGTAATCAGCAACAGATCCAGGGCAGAATTTTGCTACATAAAATCGAAAGGTAGCCACCTCCCTCCGTTGACTGTAGGGACCCAGAGAATCTTGACTCCTAACTATGACATCTTGGTCAAGCCCTAAAATTAAATAACTGGGAATTTAGTTCCAATTGCTTTAATGCAGTTGCTCAAGCAGATCCAAATGTAACGGAATCCCAGGGTAGCAATTTACATAAGATAGGGGAAAATAAAGTCTTCAGCCCTTAAAGCAAACTGCTGGTATGCCAAGTGCTGGCTCAGCAATCCTTAAGCTCTGGAGTGCAGGGAGGGTGCAGTGAGCATCTCCTACTCCCTGCCATCACCCTTTCTCAAGCTTTTTGCTCAGCACTGCAGGCAACAGGACATTGGTGTGGGCACATCTCTAGCCTGATCTAGCTGGGTCTTTCCCAAGAGCTTAACGCTTACCCGTAGAGGTGGTTTACATGGGGGTTCACACCAAGGGAGTTCATCCAGTTGCGGAAGGTTCGTTCCTCACGTGTCTCTCCTAGATGTGAGAAAACAAATACATGCAAATTCTGCAAGCTCAAAGCTGTGTGGGGTTTTCTACCTTGCAAGGCAGGAAGCTTTGAGCAGCGTAGCTCATTGATTAGATTTTCAAGCAGAAAATGAGTATTTTTTTCTACTACAATTTTTTCAAAGGAAGAGTGTTGCCCTGATATCTAGTTTTTGTATACGAGTTTGATTTCTCCAGGCCTCAGAAGAACATGCCTTTTACACTTTCTGCAAGAAAAAATAGCAAGAAGGTCTTTCACATGGGTGTTAGCTAACTGTTGCCCAGAAGCCAGGCAGCCAAAGTACTAATCCCAGTTCTGACAACAGTTAGTGCCCAGTGTTATTACTGAGGTGCTCCCACCCACCTGCCCACCGCAGGAAAAAATAAAACCACCTTCCCAGCCTTGGCATGACAGGTTCAGAGCAGCTGAACAGGCTGTCAAGTACCCTTCTTACTGGCCCCAAGTGAATAAGCAACCACTGCAGCACTGAAGCCTCAAATCACAGGTATTACTTCAATGGAGGTATCTCCACTGGGCACAGCCTCTTGTGACACACATTTTTCCTTTAGATACTTCCTTCCTGCCAGTTTTGTGACTTATATGGCCATCACCTTCCAGTAGGGTCCAGTCGATGTCCTGGTTTTCAGGCTTGGTAAGTGCTGGGTACTTGTTGAACAGGTTGGCAACAAAGGCCAGGTTCAGTTTGGGATTGCCACTGACCACATCAGCCGGTGTGACAAACTGCCGGCAGCCAAGCCGATCTGCCTGCTGAAGCATGTACTCTGCTCTCCTCAAGTCGTCCTTTTCCTGCCGGGGATGCAACAGACAAGAGCTGTCATGGAAGAGACTGGCTACAAAGCTGATGGGAACCTTCTGGCTACTACCTGGAGCCATGTCACAATCCCACCCGCCTTTTGTTAGGAATCAGTCGCTAATCAAACAAAGGGATGCAGCATGCACGCTAACCCCTGCTGCTATGAATGTAATTGTCCCTTTTTTCTTGGTATTTTCTCCTAGCACGGTGCCTTCCAAGTTTATATGTTTCCCAACTTTTACGCTTTTTGAGCTTGCTGGTTCAAAAGCAGAAGTCAGCGTGTGCTCAAATGGAGCAAAACCAAAAATGATTTCTCAATCATTATGTTAATGGGCAGGTAGTGATGAGGCCCGCAACAACCACTCATTTAGCACATATGCAAGGTGCACACATGCTCACTGACACTTTGCACATTATAGAAATTAAAATACCAGGTTATCTAGATGGCATGGAGCAGTTATAGGGTACAGGTAGTTCATGATTGTACAGCATGAGGACATGACAGCCTGAATACTTACATTGAAACCTGACATGTTAATATCGATCTGTGGCTCTCCTTCTTTCTGCCCTTTAGGTGCAATTTGATTGAGGAGGTGGAAATAAGCCCTGGAATCCTAAAATGGATAAAAAAGAAAATTCAGGTCTCCTGCACAGCAGTGAATACACCATAACAATTCATTTCAGGCTCATCTTTAACAAGTAACCATGTATAATTGGCTTATGTACCTTCACTGAATTACCAAAGTCTGTAAGCTTAAAAGAGAGCATAATGGCAGAAATCCAGGCAGCAGTAAAGCAAAAAGAAAGGGAAAATGTTAGAAATATTTAAGATTAAAAGTCTGGGTTTCAGCTATTTGAAAATTGCCTTTGCTGCAAACTCTGGTGGCACAGCCTTCTCTCCAATGGCTGGAGGAAGCAGCCACTCCATGCTGCTCAACTCTCATGGCACCCACAGCCAGACGTCCCAAGGCAGCTGTTCCTACTGCTACAGCAACAATGAAATGTGCCGGTGAAGATAAAATCCAGGCAAAAAGCTCATTACAAGAAGTCTGAATGCTTTCTCCTGTCCCTGCCTTTTAGCAAAAATAGCTTAGAAGAGAGAGGCCAGTGATGGTCACAACTAGGAGCTGCAGTAATTATTTGTCAATTACAAGTCCCTTTAGTTCTCGGCGCTAAGAAGGACCCTGGCACATCCTGGGTTGCACTAGACAAGCCAGCAGCTATCAGCAAATCTGTAAGTAATTTTGCAATTGACAATAAGAGCGACCATGTGTGTGTGCATACATGCACACACACAGGTGAGCTCTAGGCTCCCTACGCATCTCCGTTATCTGTTTTTCCCCACCCCAACTGTCCTTTAACCTGGAATACACTTCAGTCTTCCTTCTATTCCTTGAAACTGCTGGCATATGAATGAGCTCCAGAAACCTGCTGAGACCAGTGTTCAAAAACCCGACACTGACCAGGAGTCACCAGTCTCCATTTCTGACTAATGCTGAGAGAAGAGAGCTACCCTCTTCTCCTCTAAAAACAGCTCTAAGACTCCTCACTCCCATTTCTACTCAGCCCAATGGAGAGAATATGGGGTTCTGTTGCCCCTCCCCTCTCCAGACCATGACGTTTTGGATGAAATGCTGTCACCTGTCAGAAGTGTGTGGAAGTCACACTCTCCAGGGATGCACTTAAGCATTTCACCCTGTGTGAGTGAGCTGCATGCCCCTGAAAAATTATTTCTATCAAAAAAGATAGATTTAGAACATTAGAAATCACATGAATAATGCCAGTTTCCTACTCAATTAAAATATGCAACAGTTTTGCAGCAGGATCCCACTAGCACCGGAGGAAACACCCAGTTCAACACGGAGGGTTCAACATCACAGCTAGAGAGAACAGCACCGCGACACCTTAAATATACCACTCACAAAACTCATGTTTAGCCTACTCAGTGTATTAAGGTTGAGAAGGGTCCTGTCTGTGGATGAAGGGCCTCATTTACACAGGCAAACATAGCCGTGGCCGGCTCCCAGTGCTTCCCAGGCACATCCAGGCCAGGAGAGCTCTTGGTACCTTGATATCCGAACTGAAGTTATTGATTTTGTGCCAGCCTGCGTTTTCCAAGTGGAAGTTGGCCCATCTTAGGAGCAGCTCTTCTGGGGATAGTTTCATAAGGTCCTCCAGATTTTCACCATCACGAAGCAAGGCAGCCAGTGCTAGAAGAAAAATGTTTGTGAGGGAAAGGAAGAAGTTTTCAACAGGCAAACCTGTATGCTAGAATTACAGCTGCAGCAGCATTTCAGGGGTATAAGGTGGGGACAATAATATCAACTACTGATTAAACAAAAATAACCTGGGTGACAGCGGAGTTTTGCTGAGTTGGTTGTTATTCAGAGAATATTATGAATGATCTAGAGTACTCTCTATAAAAAATATTTTCCATTTTCTCATATAATAAAATTCTCTGGAGTTTACATGCAGTGTTTTAAGTTGGTGACATTAAGCTAAATATAAATGTACTTTATCTCAATGAAAAAGTGCTTCCAAGCAGTTTCATATTTAGGGGGCCAGTTAGCTCAGTGGTTTGAGTGTGGTGCTGACAACAAGGACCAACACCGAGGTCACGGGTTCAATTCCCGCTCGGTCCCCATGTGTTTGTTGTCAGGCCTAGTCGAGAGGTGGCGTCCCTGCCCAAAACAGGGAGGTTGGACTAGATCATCTCTAAGGTCCCTTCCAGCCTGTGCCACTCTATGATTCTATGATAGGCACTGTTAAAAAAAGCCAAGATAGCCACTCTTTTAGCTGCCTAGTGCTTCCCTTGCCGCAAATTTTCAATCTAAGCCAAACAATATTACCACTTCACAATTGGGAAGTTTAAATAAAAGACACTGGATAGCCCAAGTGCAAATGCAACGGAGGTCTTTGAACTATTTAAAAGTTTGAATTCTGGAGACTGTAGTGCAGGACCAAGTGAGCATGAGGGGAGAGCTGCAGCAGCACTCTCCCATCACTGAGAATGAAGTGAGAGCTCAGCTGCACCACTGACAGTAGCCAAGGAGGATTTTTGGAGAACTAAGTTATTGCAAACACATCCCCAAAGAGCTGAAGACCTCATCTTTCTTCCCCCCAAACCTTTTTCTTCTTTTTTTCTTTGAGGAAGATGTACAGTTGTCTATAAACCCAAAAGGACACAAGCAGTTTTGACACCTCCCAGAACCATCACATACCTATGGCTGAAGCACACTGGGAGAACCTGCCCAGTCTGAGGCATCACAAAGCAATGTGTCCATTCACACCACAAGGCTTAAGCCAAGATGCATCTTGACTTACAGACTTGTGCTCAGCTAGTTGTCCCAAGACTGACACATGGGCACATGGGCATAACCCACCCACCTGAACCTGTTTCACAGCTACAAAGAGGCAGAAAGCACTCAGCTTCACACATGCCATGGTGAGCCTGAAGGCGAGTACCCTGCCTTCAGCAGAGAGGAGGGGAGGCAAGAGGCAGCAGTGGGGCTGGGGATGACAATGCAAGCAATGCAGAGTTCATGCTTTATAAGTAATCACTTATAGTTTCCTTTACCTTCATTTCTGCTGAGCTCGATGTCAGCAAACAAGCCGATCTTAATGATCTGCCAGAGAAGCCCAAGGACCAGGTGGGGTTTCCCTTCCCTCAAGTCCTCTGCGCCAATATTGACAACATGACACCCGATGGCAGATGCAGAATTCAATGCCAGGTTCAGGTTCTCCTGTGAACAGCACAGCCAAGTGAGACACAGCCAGGGAAGATGCTGCCTTGCCTTTCATTCAGCACCAGCACAGCAGAGATTTCCCCCTCATCCTTGCTTCAACATGGCAGTCTGGAGTAAACATTCCCCGGCAGCTCTCTGGCTGAAGTTTTAATGGAGCTGTGGTGGCAGCAGGCTGAATCAATAAGAACTGAACTAGGCACCAGGGTTTAATTTCAGCCTCTGGTGTTTAGTTTCAGCCTCTGAGTAAGTTGCATCTAGTGGCATCAACTAGAACAAGGCTAGAGAATTGTTAAGTTATACACACAGGCATCCTTGCAAAAATAACTTCTTGTACTATGAAATGATTCAGAGATAGCCAACATCAATAGTCATAACGCCTTAAAAACAATGCTGTATGTAATCACTGCAGCAGTATCAGGTGCACACAGCATTTCAGCCATTTTACTCATTTTGTCATTAAGGCAGTATTTGTCTTTTGAACTGTACCCCCAGCTCTGTCAATTATGTGCAGTACAAAACTGCCTTTAACAATTAAATGCAAGTTATAAAAATTGCTCCCTTCCAGATTTTCACAGTAACACCTCAAGCCACCACATGGTTTACACTAATTCTAACTGAATGCAAATTTCAGCAAAAATACAGAAATGTGTTATACCTGAATTATGAATGGTGTGAGTTTCTTCTTGTTAATTGCTCTTTCATCAATCGTGTCCGGAACAGAAAGATTGATCATTTTGCTGGGAGGACAAAAAACAATATTTAAACAACATTTACTATTTAATCTCAACAAAACTCAATGCACTGTTATACAACACTCACCACACTACATTTCCTTTTGCCCGTTTTGTTTTGTGTATTTATTTATTTTTTTAAATCAAGGTTGCGTAAATCAGAAGTTAATATTTACATTATCAAGAATGTATTTGTAACTAATAGCTAAGCTTGAAACCTTAAACATGTTACTGGCCACTACTGCTATCAGCTGCTGGAGTAAAAAGAGCACATGAATTATTCACAGCATAGCCACTGACTAGCAAAGACTTATTGCTCTGTTGACACACACTGCAGATTCTAGCAAGACAATGTGCTTCCTCCTATTGTAAAGATGTACTACTACTGGCAAGAAAAAATTGCCCAAAAAAGAGCAAGCACCAAGAACTCAGTAAGGAGCATGTGAATACAACGACCTTTTAGTCAAGAGAAAATAAGGCAACCTTTTAATTTATGCTATAAATTACTTCCTACTTGGTTCAGTCTTTGCAAAATAATTTACTTTACTAATTTAGTGTAGCTATTATCAAAAGCAACAAGAGGATTCCCAGAAAATCCCTTTTTGGGTTAATTCATAAGATCACTAACCTTTCCACAGAGGTTACTATGGGCTATTTAACACACCTGCCCTTGCCTAAACTAATTAGCACCAGGCTGAGTTTGCAGCAGAACAACTGCTCCTGCAAGGCACCTTCTCCCCTTCAGCAAACAGTCTTAAGAACAAACAAAAACACTAGACAAAAATACCAACCTGTGAAGCGAGTGTCAAAGCTGAAGCATCAAGCAATGACAATAAAAACCTGAGTGACTGCTGTGTTTGCAAAACGTTATGTACATACACAGTAGCCACTAAAACAGACTAGAATAGGATGAAAATCCCCCTAACTACACATTTGGAAAGGTATTCTGGTGATTTTTTTTTTTTAATTCTTAATTTAAGAGCCATCATGACTTACCATAGCACAATCCCATCTCCCACAGCTTTGAACAGGTCATCTGTATTTGGGTTCATTGGAATAACGTGCCTGCAGTCGGGATCATTTTCCAGGGCTTTGTTTATCCAGTTTACAAAGGCATATTTTTCCTCCTCTAAGATAAGCAATTGTAAATTTAATACAAGCTTCCACATAACATTGGAAAGATTTTCTCAAAAGAATCAGCATACAATAGACCAGGGAAATAAAACCCCCACTATCATTACCACACTATTTCATTTGTCACACAAAGTTTAAAGAAACTTGATTTTCACTTCCAATTACCAGAATATTCCTGTTACTTACTTATTACTCAACAACTTCATTATATTCAAGTGTGACACAAGGACTTCATCAGCAAGCACAGTTAATAAAAAAAATAAGAAAGCACTGTTAATTTACACACTGCTAATCTTGGATCACCCTCTATCCTGTTCTGACCCTGCATTTAGCTATTGGAGAACATGGCAAGACAGCAGAAATCTACTCTTTGGCATACGGCCTCCACTCACTCAAGAGAGGAGCTGAAAGGCAGAGCAATACCTGAGTAGGAGTGCTGTGTCCCCTCACTGGAGAGCTCTGAGGTCCCCCCGATGGCACAGATTCCTTCCTTCCTGTTAATTGCTTTTCTGAATGTTTTAGCAATATCGCTGCTCTTCACCTCTTGAAAAATCTACAATTTAAAGTATTCTGTTAGACAAGAAAAAATTGTCTTCATACAGCAAAAGGACCACAGAAGAATCTATTTCTTCTTGGTTTTAAAGCAAACTTTGTAGTAAAATCAGCAAATGTGAATGGCCCAGCAAGAGTGTAGTGGTATTAAATCTAACATGGATAGTGGGCAGAGAGTCACTGCACTCTCTCAAACACATATTGCAAGTGCCTATTAAAACAGAAGCATTAGGCATGAACTACCTCATCTATGTTTACCTTGTCAAGTAGACGTTCAGGAGACCACACAAAAAAAAAAAGTGAAACCTTTGCAGTCTGAGTGCAAGTACACATGCAGCAGTTTCCGCAGGACCGAAGTTGAGAAAGCTGTTGTGCAATTTTAACCCTTCTGCATAAGCCAGATGATCACGTGACTGTGACTTTAGTTCACACAACACTTTGTCCACAACCCAAGAAACAATTCTCTCTAAGCGTGTAAAAGTCAAACCTGCAATAATGTGTAACAATGAGCACTCCAGGTAAGGATCCCTCCTCCCTCAACAGCAGCCTTGAGCTAACACCCTCACATCTGAGGGCAGAAGAGATGCTTCAGCACAGAAAGACTACAGGTGCCATTGGCACAGGTTGTATGTTACCATTACTGGCCGTGAGGTCCTACAGAACTGAGCAATGCATTCAATAGCTTGAAAACCTACTGTAACTCCCTCAACACTTAACAAAATCAGTTTCAACCGTGCTGAAAACACAAATGAAACCTATGGAGGTTCTCTAAACACTATCCAGAAAAAAAGTAATGTAACAGCACTGTAAAGTAGAACAATGGAGTGCTTCTGTTAAAAAGAGAGGAGGGGACTTGCCCATTTGTCTGCAGAAGTGTCAGCACAGAACCAGCCTGCTGGCTGTCACACCTTACCTTCCCCAGCCGTTAAACACAGGGAAGGTGGTGAATCAAGATAATGATGATGCGGTACAGTTAAACCATCTCCTGATGACATGCAGAGGTTTTGCTCACCCCAGTGATCAGGTAGAGCTGAATGAAGATTCCAGAGCCCAACAGTTTTGGGCATTCTATTTGGTTGGTTTTAAACATAAGGGCTTTGATATAGCTTTATTTATTTTAAAATTCGCTGGCCTAATTACCAGTATTGCATATCTTCTTTGAAAGTTGGTGCTTTAATGCTGAGGCTCCACTAAGTCACTTGGCCCCAACCTCAAGTCAGTTCATGTCATCCTTTGTACCATAAAGCCCAGCAAAAGCGCTCAGAGTTAGAAAAGAGCAACAGTTCTGTTTGTAAAAATCCTACAACTAACCATTGCTTCTACTGAACAGCTTAGTTGCCCACAAGGCATTTCGTATTTACTCAATCATCAGAACCACTCAAATGTGACAGAAGAGATTTATTTCCTCCTTCCTAGTGCAAAGTTAAAAGTTATGGACCAGCTCAAACCAGCATCTGAAACATGCACCCAACATGCAAGTGTTCACAACTGCAAACAAAGTCCAACTTACTAGATAACTCCGAACTCAAAAGTTCAGAGGGTCTGAAAACAATTAAGGAACAGAAGATGAAGACAAATTAAGAAATATCCAGAAAAAGATTTAACAGGAAAACAGCTCCCTCAGTCATCATTCAGTCATCAGAGTATAAAAAGGATGAAGGGATGGATACTGAACTAGTATCTTAGAACAAGTGTTGTGCCCTTATATACATATAAAAAAATAATTAAAAATTACGACCTATTTACAGAAAAAAAGACTAAAGGTTAGACCCATCCTCCAGCTTCTCCTATCTCCTTACTCCTGTTCTTCCCTTTTAAGGCAACAAACAGATCTGAACTTTCCTAGACCAGCATCTAAGACCAATCTCCAAGTGTGTCTTGAAACGCCCTCTCAAGTCTTTAGTAAATGCTCGTACTCCCATTAAACTGAGAAAGGAAATTACACTGCTTCACTGAGAAAACAAGCATTCATCTATGCGCCTGGAAAAATTGAGTAGCTTCCAGTCAATACTGTAAGCCTGGCAAATTGGAAGGATTTTTTCCAGTTGTCACCTCATGTGGAAATGGTCTTTTAGCCTCCAAAGAAGTTTTCATATAGGAAGAGCATGTAGATTTTTTGGTTTTGTTTAAAACTAATATATTTCCCCTTTGTCCAAATCTAAAGGCTAGTACTAACAGCACAAAAGACTGGTCATATGCAGAGATGTGTACAAAGATCTGATTTTTACATGGCAAGTTCTCAAAAAACGATCAGTTTGTAAACAGAAAACAAGTGGCTGAGAAAAGCCAGGTTCAACCTCTTCTACCCCCTTCCTTAGCTTTGTCTAGAAGGAGCTCCCAGGCTGCTCAAAAATGCCACTTACATAAACAAACTCTTCAAAACTAATCTTCCCATCTTTATTCTTGTCACCGTCGATCATGAGCTTCTGGATGATCTCTCTCACTTTGTACCCTGGGAGAGGCAGGTTGGCTTCCTTGAAGAGTTCGTGCAACTCGTAGTCGCAGATGAACCCATTGCTGTTGAGATCTGAGGAAGAGAAGGGGAGGGAGAAGGTTTTAGAAGTGTGCCAGCAGCCTGACAGATCCAGCCCCATGGAGCAGGGCAGAAACACGGTCCCGCAGGCTCAGAAGTGCTTTATGGAAAACAACCTATGCACTGGGGACATCCACAGAACATGGAGGTAGGGAGGAACCCCCCTAGCGTGGCCTGTCGCAGCATACCTGTCTTGGAGCTGCATGGCACAGAGCATTCATCTTCGCTGAAAGAAAGATCTGTGCAGTACACAGACACACAGCAGGCTCCCCAGAGCAAAAATAGCAAGCCCAAGTAGCACACTACTATCAAGTAGTAGTACACTACTACCACAAGGAATATACTACGAACCACAGGCACACAGTAAATACACACGGTGCATCCTCAGAGAAGGTCTCAGCAGAAGCCATGAGATCTCTCCAGCTTTGGGAAAGGGCAGCCTCAAACCAGAGCTGACCAGGATGGCTCTCAGCACACATGATCGAGTCTGATGTAAAAGTTTCACAACAGAGTATTTGCATTTTCATAAATGATCTCCAGAGCATTTCTTTCTATATCTAACTGCAGCTGGCATTACATGTTAAAAATAGACAGTAATGAACCACAGCACTTTGTACTGAACTGAAAACACTAAGTCAGCTCTGCATTTACATTTTGTGTTGATAATGATGTTACCCATTTATCACTGAAAGAAAATTGCATCAAGATATTTTAATGCTGCCCAAGAATGCTCTGCAAGAACACTTGCTTTCACAGTCAATCACCAAGCCACAGCAGCACTATATACTTAGTGGGACATTGCCAACTAGATTTGGGAAGAAAGAAAACTAGAATCTAGCATGAATCTGGAGCTTTTCACATCAACAGATCCCAACCGCTTTTGTGGACATCATCATATCTATTGACTGCACAAGGCAAATCCAAGGTTTAGCCTTTCTTAAGGCAGAGGGTTTGCTGCCACCACGGGCAGGCCTTTCTCAGGCTAACCAGGACGAGCAGACAGCATGGCTCACAGCACAGCTGCTTCCCAGGCTTCACTGAGTCAGGTCCATGAGCAGCCAGAGCATCTGAAGCAGTCAAACAGCCCAGACTGACATCCCAAGACATAAGAATGACCCTCCAGCATGTTCGTAGAGACAGGGATTCAGGGAGTGTTGTGCTTTTACTGGCCCAGTAGTGATGTTAAAACCTGTTGCTGCAGGTAAGTGGTACAGACAGCCCAGAGAAGTTAATTCAGTGCCTGAGCTGCCATCTCCTCCCCAGAGCTCAGGCTGTGGGGAAATACCAGCCCTGGATTATTGCTGCTGGTGGGGAATGCCTGGATGGGGAGGCGTGGAGACTTGGCAGTCTCCTACAGTCATCACTCAACCACAGGCTCTGCAAAGTTGATGCAGTGCCTGTACTGAAGAAATCAAGGGCAGTCTCTGCATTTAAGCAGCTACATTATCTTCTCCCCCATCTCCAGAGCTTTTGCCCTGTGATGGGGCACTGCCAAGGGCAGCTCACCACCACCCGCTGCCAAACCCACACTGTGCTGCAAGGCACCTGACCCACTCAGCTTTGCCCAGCCACTCTGCCCATACCCCATATGGGAGGATTTTTCTGCTATTTGTAAGGCATCAGCCTTTCCCTAAAGCCGTAGAGTTAAATTCCACTCGAGCAACAGCAGCTGCTCTGCAGACACGCTTGCAGGCTGCTGTTGGCTCCCTCGGCAGCGATGAAAGAGCTGTGCCAGCCCCAGGATTTGGGTTTGCTCAAGAGGGAATCCCACACCAAAAACACTGGGGTCACTATGCTTAAAGAGACATATTTTCAAGAATAAAACAATCAAGACGGCTCTAGAGTCCCTTCTTTTTCAACAAATTTTGACAGTCACTTTACTTTTAATGAGGTGTCAGTGGCAGTTTTTAAGTTTTATTTCACAGAATGTTCCAGCCACCAGCACGTCTGCACCACCACTCCAACCTTCCTCATTTTCCAGATCCATACGGGATTTAAAAACTGTTTTGTAAGTTAGCAAGAAAGTGAAATTCAAATGCTTAGTGGCAAACGTCCAAAGTAACACAGAGCAAACCTGTACTCTCTCCTACACTCCAGTCCCTACATCTCAAACTAAAGAAGAGCATCAATTCCAGTGGATTAATAAATATGTTAAAGTACTTTATGAAATGCCAGTGTTTATAATAATGCTAATGAAATAAAATAGTTTGGGCCAATGATTAATGACAGCAACAGGCTGCTGTCTGGCCTTCAGTTTCAGAATTTTATTCCAAAAACATATAAGCTTACAAAGGCAAGCTTTATTTAACAGTTCAGCCTGAGATGTCATCAGCAAACTATTTCCCCTCTAGATAAATCATAGCTTATTCTGTTACACTTTTCTTATTGCTAAATCTAACTCCACAATATGCACCTTTTCCCTGCTTTACAGCCAGTGAAGAAAATCAGACAAGAAAGGATTTGCTAATCTCCAGGGCCTGTGGGCTCGAAACAAAACTTTGCTTTCACCCTCAGCATGCCTACAGCCAACACCCATTGCTTTAGCCTGTGCTTGACTGAACCAACCAAAATCCTTTGCCAAGCTGCCAAATTAAGCAAGTAAATCCAGAAACACCTGTTCATCACTTCTTCCAATCAATTCACCACCTAAAACACTAATTTCTACATCTCAAATGTTAGTAGGCCAAGGACAGAGAAAAATAAGATTTTGGAATATATATCATGTCCTCGATAGGATCCCGGGTGTGATTTTGATTCAGATTCAGTAAAGGTTTTCCTCCTGGCATGCCTAGCTTAAGCATTCACAAGTGTCTCTGAAACAGGCTTGCATGTGCCATGTCTGAGCCTATTCAGAAGTGAAAAACACAGTATATGGTATTTCATGATGCAGAGCCCTGTTGGGTGAGACAGCAGGGAATCAAGCTCCAAAGTCCCCATCTCTAATAGGTTGGAGGGATGCGCAGGTAAAATGCTTAAATCTGCTTGGAGCTCAGTTCTCTAAGTTCTACATATGAAGCCCTGCATGTCTTTTAAGGGTACAGTCTAGTTAAGGAATTAATTCCCAGCCTCGCATTTTTTAGCTTGCTTGCAGAAAAGAAATCATAACTTAGACACACTGACTGAAACGCAACTGAGGAGTTGGCTCAGGCCATTGTCTGGTCCATCCACACTTGCTCAGCAGACCTCAATCTCTGCCTGAAAGCATCAAACCTGGCTGCAGGGCAGATATCAGGAATTCACAGCAGTCTGAGTCAACAGTTTTGAGGGTTTTGTTCACCCCTACAAAGCAGCATCTTCCCAGTCCTCTGGGTGTGCCTAGTTCAAAGAATATTTAACACAGCTCACTGAAAAAAAGAATAAAATAAAAAATTAGCAGCTCTGCTGCATGCAGAGCCATCTGAAACACACACTCACATGTGAATGCTTGTGACTTGGGAGCATGGCATCAGGAAAGATGCTGCCCAGCAGGAGGGGCTGCCCAGCAGTGGCTCTCAGCACTTGCATTGGGCTCAGACAGACAGCATGTAATCGAGTGTGAAGGACACACACTGACTAATGCATCTTAACTCACTCAAATCACATGGGTCTCAGGGCCTAAGTTCTTCCAGCTCTTAACAAAATTCCAAACACCCACCTGTTAGAGTTATTCCTTCGCAGCATCCTGGGAAAAAAATTTAATCACTGATTTACTACACAGATTAAAAGGGCATCTACATCCCAGACCCTTCACAGGTGGGATTTATGAGCAAGACAGGGCTGTTGGTTCAACTCCAAGACCCCACACCAAGTTACTGGTTTTGCAGTAAAGTTGCTCTCATTTCAACTTCTTGGCCACAGAAGGACAAATTTAAGTGTGTGGCTTTGGCTCAGTAGAACAATCAAGTAAGCTGAACTGGTGATCGATTAAGTGGTAGAATATGAACCCATTCTTCTCTTAACGTGTCAAAAAGCTTTCAGCGCTGTAAACATGACAAATAGGTTGAGACCCCTACCCCTATCTCATAACACAGCTGCTTTCCTTTCTGCTGTCTCTGTCCTCCATCTCTGGCATCACAGTCAAATGTACAAAGTTGCAGCATTAAAAAAAAAAAAAAAGTATTCACCTTTGCAGCACCACCAAGTCCCCATAGACTCATAAACACTGGAAAAGACCTCTAAGATCATCAGGGTCCAACCATCAACCCAACATTATCATGACCACTAAACCATGTCCCAAAGTGCCACATCTACATGCGTTTTGAAAACCTCCAGGAATGGTGACTCCACCACTTCCCTGGGCAGCCTGTTCCAATGCTTCACCACTCTTCCAGTAAAGAAATTTTTCCTAATATCCAAACAAAGCCTCCTCTGGCACAACTTAGAATCACAGAAACTTGAGTCCATTTCCTGTCGTCCTATCACTTGTTACTTGGGAGAAAAGATCGACTCCCACCTCTCTACAACCTCCTTTCACGTAGTTGTAGAAAGGGCTAAGGTCTCCCCTCAGCCTTCTCTTCTCCAGGCTAAACAAGCCCAGTCCCCTCAGCCATTCTTCATAAGACTTGTTCTCCAGACCCTTCACCAGCTTTGCTGCCCTTCTCTGGACCTGCTCCAGCACCTCACTGAATTTCTCACACTGTGGTGCCCAGAACTGAACACAGGACTCAAGCTGTAGCCTCACAAGGGACACGATCACTTCCTTACTCCTTCTAGTCACGCTATTTTGGATCCAGGCCAGGATGCTGTTGGCCTTCTTGACCACCTGGGCACACTGCTGGCTCACGTTCAGCCGGCTGTCAACCAGCACCCTCCTTTTCCAATGGGCAGCTTTCCAGTTACTCACTTCCCAAGCCTGTAGCATTGCACGACGATCCAAGGACAGAACTCAGCACTGGGCCAAGTGACCTCAGCCTATCAATCCAACCTGTCCAGATCCCTCTGCAAGGCCTTCCTACCCTGCAGTAGATCAAAACTTATTTGGTGTCATCTGCAAACTTACTTACGAGGGTACACTGGATCCCCTCATCCAGATCATGGGTACAGATATTAAACAAGGCTGGCCCCAAAACAGAACCCTGAGGAACACCACTTGTGACTGGCCACCAGCTGGGTTTAAGTTCGTTCACCGCCACTCTCAGGGCTTGGTCATCCAGCCAGTTTTCAACCCAGTGAAGAGTACACCTGCCTAAGCCATGAAGCCACCAGCTTCTCTAGCAGAATGCTGTGGGAGATGGTGTCAAAGGCTATTCCCAGCACGACTACAGGTCCACCATATTGTGCCTTGCTGATTGTCCTGCAACATGGACAGACTTCAGACAGAAGGTGGTCTAAAATCCCTCTCTAGCAAAATCTGAAATCGTATTCAACAGCTGAAGAGGCTCTCAAAATAGAAGCTATCCCAAATAAAATCCTTAAGCATAAGGCCCAGAATTACTAATGGAAGAAAATAAAATTGTTTTAACAGACAAGTTAGAGCCTGGATTCATTATAATCTGCCTGATGGAAAGGAAACTAGAGCACATCTGAAGTTTCCTGTTTCTACTGAAAGATGCATGCACACCAGCGCACTAAACCTGGGAAAGGTCACTGCAGTGATGTATGGCACCGTCTTCTGCCCATATGCAGGTGGCGCAGCAAATCTGCAAGAAACAAAAGCCCCAAAGCTGCTTCAAGCTCTGGCTCAGCTGCCTCCCGACAAGTGCTTAAAATAGCTTAAATAACAGGATGCAAGAGGGGAAAGTAACCCACGTTTCCTTTTAAGGATATATGCTCAGCAGGACACTCTAGCAAGATCCCATATCCCCACTTGCCTTAAGCTAACATTTCAGACCATTGTTTCGCCACCTTGTAGCAGCGAACAAAGTGTTCAGCTGCCTTATGATTTTTAGGTACTTCGCGTTTCCAGAAAAGATGCTTATCTCTGCTATTAGAAGCAGGGCAACGGAAGACAAATAAACAGAGGAAGTTTGCAAATTTTGTTCTGCCACGCCTCCCCTGTGAAGTGCCACTGTTTGGCCAACTATATACGTACACATACCTGTTCTACAGAACAAATTCAGAGATCGGCTGAGATTTGAAACAACCTGCTCTTCTCCCACTAACCTGTGGGTCATTCAAAGCCCACACAGTTTTTATGTCCCACTTAATTACATTTTTCAGATGTTAGAATACTTCTTCCCCTCACTGCTGTTTAGCATCTGGATCACTTCCAACACAAATACCTGGATGCTGGAAGCTGCTTGTCTGAGCTGTAGCTGACCTTTAGTGCTAACCTTAAACCACAGATTCTCACCTGTGGATTGTTTCTAGTGAGCCGTAGGCAGTCTATGGGTCTCTTGCCTTTTGTAGGCTGCCAGAGAACAGCACACAGCTGTACAGGAGAGAGGGGACACCTTCAAGTGGCATGGAAGGCAAGTGGTGACAAAGTAAACAGAAACACACCTCATTGCCTTCCAGCATCACCAGATGTGTCGATACAGTCCAGCTGCATACAGAAAAGCTGGTCAGACACACACCTTTGAAGTCCCATCAGCCTGTACATCCAGAGCAGCAACTTGGCCCGTGCTAGAGTTAAAGCAGGTCTCCAGGGGGCCCATGCAGCTGCACGTCTTGGTGAGCAGAAACCACCCCATGAGATGCTTCCTCCTCCCCACATCTCCTTTACAACATCCCAGAACCCAAACAGCTGAGCTTTCCTACAATCACTCTTCTCTGCTGCATTCCAAGCCTTCCACATAGCTAGAAGATGAAAGAAAAGCCTTAGTCCAACTTTTCACATTCACTAGAGATGGCACTAGAACTTCCCAGTGAAAGTCAGTCACCCAATTAGTGACCAGTTCTATATTCCAGGGCAAACATGGTTCCTTTAGGCAAGAATAAAAGGAATGTGAGCATTAAAGACACTCCTGACAGTGTGTCCCACAGCAATGCCTGTGGGCTGTAGCATGCCTAAAGCACACAAACCAGAAGGCAGCTGAAAAGGACTAGCAGATCCCAACTCACTTGTGGGTATGTCCACGTTAATTATCACATGTCTCAATAATACCTAAGTTTTGACACTGCTTTGATAATTTAAAGCCAGGTGGGACCTGACTCCTGAGCAGGGTGAGCTGGTTTCCTAAAACAAACCAGGATTTGACTTGGGTTTCTCCATGTTTCCAGTGCAAAGGCAGCCAGCCAACCTAATCTCAATAATTTCCCTATACAGTAATGACAGAAAGCCACTCCATTCCAGCCAGGTTAATTATTTTAAGGTCATCCAAGGACAGAACAGGCCGGCTGCATCCAAGCCTTAATAGGTTCATGCTCAGAGCACATTAGGCAGTAAAAAGCATGTTGACCACTCAGGTCCCTCTGTGGCAGCTTTTTCCTACCTGTTGGAAAAGTCTGGGAAGAGCAAGACAGGAGAGGGAACTGCCTAAAATGCACCTTGTTTCAAGTCCCAACATGAAATACTGCCCTGTGGAAGTCATTTGTTTTTGAAATTAATTTTTCTTTCTTCAGATAAAACTCAGTTGCTCTAAGTTGCAAAGAGCCACTCTGCAGAGGGCAGCTTATCTGATACAGATGTGCGGCAAGTACCAATATGTACTTATTACCAGCGCTGAGGGATGCCAACATCCAGTTAGGAAAACGAAACACTGGCTCTGATCACTTGTGCAACTCATTCTCAGCCAGTGCCAGTCCCGGGTGTGGTTCCCCAGCTGCACACGCTGACCTCAGTCCACAATATTGCGGTCCAGCTCCCATCCTGCCCCTCCCTGGCATTTCTCTGATCCTCCAGTAAGCCGTATCAGGAAACTAAACCAGCAGAAAACAATTTTCTCCATGATGTCAATTTTATGGCCATTTCAGCTTCCTGAAGCAGCCTGCCAGAGGCTTCTGCAATGCCAGCACAGAAGGAAAGCTGGAAGGCAGGCGGAGCAGCTTGGGCTGTGCAACCCCTCTAGCATAGCAGGCTGTTAGGGAGGTGAAAACCAAAGAACCAGAGCCACCAGAGGGCAACGCACATGCACTGCAGCTGCAAAGCATGTAATTATCACCACAAGTTGTTCCCTAATTAGGGACACTAATTAGGTTTTGCCTACATGCTCACCAAACACAGTGCCTCAAATGCACCTGCACAAACTAGAAAAGTAGGACCTACTTTTACCATCAGCTCAGCTCAGCCAATCTGCCAAGACCAACATCATCAGAACCAAGCACTCTGCAAACCCTGAAGTGCTGCCTGCACTACAGTAATGCAATACCTGCTTGGATACTTCTTCTGCCATCAGGAACCAACAAAGTCCACCCTGGAGCAACAGGGAAAGGCCGTCCACCAGTGCTCACGGATAACCAGACTGCCGATGTCCCTTCCTTTGTGCTCCGTGGCTAGAAGTGACAAGCCAGAGGCAACAAGACTGCCAAGGGACTCCTTGGCATGGAGATGATCACAAGAGCAGACCGCCCACATGCTGCTGGTGCTGCTGGGCACAGGGGTAGAACAAATCCATTTCAAACGTACAGCAGACAGGAGCAAGATGTCCTCACCACGACTTACCAACTTTGGCAAAGGCTTCCTTGAGTTCCTCCAGCTCATCTTTGGAGATTTGAGTGGTTTTGGCCATCTCATGAATTTAGCGAGTATCTAAAGAGAGAAAAAGGACACTGTGAAACTGGGCTGAATTCAAATGCTTGCAGTTTTGAACAGTGGTATAGCAACAATCAGTACCAAGGTCACTACAGTTCTCAAAGCCATGTTTATCTTTCCACTAAGAAAACAGATGTGTGAAACTCAGAAGATGGGAAATGCACTCCTTAACAAGTCAAAAATCCCATTAGCCTTGTTAATATTTAGCTCTGTGTATTTATTTTATGGGCTATGCTGTTCTGCACACATTAAGGTACATGCTACCGGTATATTCTGTAGGTCAGAAAACCTCCCATCTCCAGGGATTTTCCATACCTTTGTACAAAAACAGAATCCAGAGATAAAATACTAATGCAAGAGATACCAAACCCTCTGCTTGCCTGCTCCCCTAGAGCACACAGCTACCAAACCCAAATAATAAAAAAGAGATTCTGAGCAGTACCTGAAAAAGGTCTTTTTGCACCAAGTAGCATACCTGATACTGTTTGCACATAGGAAATAGTTTGGTTTTCTACAAGAAAACTGTTTGCATAAACACCTGCCTGTTTCCCTCAGAGTCAGTCTCTCAACAAACGATGTAAGCAACAGGCCGTTTGTACTGCCACTGACACCCCCTCTCTCCTGAGCAAGGGCACGGCAGGAACCCCATGAGCAAGTACAGAACAGCAGGCATCAGCCACGCTCAAACGCCGAGCACACAGAAATTCTGCTTTGATCTGATCTGCTTGGTGTTAAAGAAACAGAGAGGATGAAGCATACAGTTCCTACACCCATCTGCTGTAATCCTCCTTTCCAAGCACTGGAGCCACCCAGCCAGCCTGGGCACCCTAAGGATGGGAAAAGGGTAGTGACCTGCCCACACCCCCTTCCCATGACACTCCTGACAGCAGCATCAGATGCCCTGTTGGCACTTTGGCCAATACGAACAAGGGAGATCAGAGACTGATGCAACAATGCAAACAGGGCAGTCCCTATGCATGAACAAAAAGGCACTTTTAAGCACATTCTAGCGTACACGCTAGCTCCAGCCCAGCCTTTAAAAATGGGGATCTGGGCAAGCTCAGTGTAACTTCAAATGAGATTTGCATCCCAAGATTTTCCAGTTCCCACTTTGTTAGTTAGCTACAATCACTGTAAGCTGAGAAATAAAAGGTTTCTCCTCTGCCTATGGGAAGAGACACAGCTGCTTCCTCCTCTGTAAGCAAAAGCATGACGGGTGAATTTACAGACTGTTAGAAGGCAGGGTCCTGAAGGGGCTGGCTTGCTGGTCAAGCAACAAGAGGCTCAGTTTCACAAATGCCTGTGCCACGGTTAGTAAGCCTCTTTTGTCTGAGGCTCACAGCCACCTTCACAAGCATTTGTTACCTTAAGAACACGAATTTGCCTGTAACTGTAAATATTCATTTTCTGTAACACTTCATTTAGTCTGGAAAGAACAAGGTGCTAGAGATGAGAGAGATGGGCAGGTGTGGCAACCTGGGAAAGCAGCTCAGTCAGGTGCTAGCAGCAAGGAAAGTCAACAAGAAGTTGCATCATGGCAGAGACATGAAGGAAAGCACATCAGACCTCAGCTCCCAGCATCTGCAAAGGTGCCGGCGGACACAAGATGTTTAACAGTCAGTAAAAGTCACCCACAGCAAGACAGCCAACTTGATCATTGGGTTTGTACTGCAAGAATGGGGCAGAGGGAAGGAATTGTAGCAAAGCGGCATCAGACTGACAGAGAAGAAATAATTTTTAAAAAGGCACCACAGTAAATTTTTTATACTATTTCATGACTAGTTAGACTAGTTGATCAAGTAAATGTTTCCATTTAGGTCAGCGTAAGAGGCAGAAATGCTGTGTGCAGCACTGCCCATCTTGCATGACGTCCAGTCTGGGACCTGCCCCTATCCCTGAAGCAGCCCCTTTCCTGCAGCGCTCCCATGGGTGCCCCAGCAGCCCAAGCCTTGGTGACACCCAAACTGAGCTGTTATTTGCACGGGATGAAGGTGCTGCTCAGCAAGAAAGTCAGCTCTGAGCAAGCTCGGTACATGCTACCATTTGGATTTCCGAACTGGCAGAAACACTTGGGGAACACTGTGAGGAACGAAGACAGTTTTGTCTATGCAGGCAGGTGGCATGAGCTGCCAGCAGGAAAGGCTGAGCTATGAGACTAAAAAGTCAGCCAATCCTCCTACATGAGTTCTGCCTTCATCCTAATACTCATTTGCACCAATGCATTTTTAAACCATGATGACTTCCCTTAAAAAGGGATTTCCAAAAGCATCATTATTTAACCACTTCACTGGAATTTAATATGCTACTGACTACCTCTGACATCTTTAACACCACAACAAGCAGCAAACACTACTATAAGCCCAGAGCTTTTAAAAAAACTGCTCTGCTTGACTTCATCAGGGAAATATCATGCCCTGGATATGCCCTGCAGTTGTTCGTGTAGGTCTTTACTTAAAAAAATTCTGCTTCCAGCTCTTATGCCTGTCAATAAGTCAATAAAACAGGTCAACCTCTCAGTTTTCACATTTCTTCTTCTTTCCCTGCTTGAGAGTAGAGAGAGGCAGAATATGAACCAACGGAGAAAAAGCAGAGACCTGAGTTGGTTACAGCTGCCTGAGAAGCAGAAAGTATGTTAGGATATAACAAAGCAGCACATAAAAAGGTTAGTGGGCCACAAAGTTACAAGTTGACAGGGACTGCTAAGCTCCCAAAGCAATTTCACAGTTTTTTTGTTTGGTTGCTTTGGTCTGGTTTTTGTCTGGTTTTGTTTTGTTTTTTTTCCTCAGTGGAGAGGTATTACACCAACACTGGCAGACTGGGCTGGGAGGTAGGGGAGCTTTTCAGGTTTTTCTCGTGTTGGGGGTTTTTGTTTGTTTGTTTTTAATAGCTGAGTCTAGAGCATTCAGAATCATGTTTTTCATTCAGTTGCATTTTTAAACAAGAGGCTTTGTCTTCAGGAATATAAAAAGCTCTTTTATCACACTGGCACAGGGATAACACATCAGTTGCCTCACTCAAAGCCCTGTGGGGACGCAGCAACCACGCTGCTACCACCATGTCACGTTCACTTCTGCCATGAGCAAAGGCTCTACCAGGGCACGCAATGACAGCCAAACACACATTTAAAGACCCATTCTGGAGCGAGGAAGAGAAAACAAGGGGAATAAGAAACAGAAGTGAGCTAGTGACCCCACATTTTACACCTTGGTGACACACAGTCCATTGGTCAATGTACACATAAACCGAGTGTATAAGGAAGCAATTCCTGCTCTAGATCCCTTTTGCTCCTGCCTTCATCCCTCACCCCACAGAAAAAAAGAAAAGGCAGCTTCATAACACTCGGATGCACAAAAGCGGCTTCACAAAAGAGAGTGGCTGGCAGACAGTGCAGCCCATTTCTGTTGTCCAAAGACCACTTTGTGCTGCGGATCAGAGCCACTCTAAGTGCATCTCAGGTTTTCAAGCATCAACTCTTCGCAGAGAGGGGCTGTATAAAGTTGCTGTGCAAACAAGTTTTATAGCTTCTAAATACACTGGAGCCACTGAATCGAGGCTAGTTTACTTGCTCTCAAGCCAGAACCGCAATACAGGCAGGTCAAAAGGAGCTGCCCCAGCCCGTGTGTTTTAACAGCTGTAAGCCACCTGGAGACACGCCATACAGCAGGGACTGTCACCCTGGAGGGTGGAAGCAGGGATGCTTCCACTGCCGCACTCAGTCCTTCCAACACAAGTGCCAGAAGCTAACCAGGACATTTGGGTGTATTACCTGCTCAGACAGCAGCTTAAAAACAAGCAAACCCAAAGAAAAAGCTGTCAAAACTCTTCCCCAAGAGAGGAAGCCCTGAGCCTTGCATCCTGCGCAGAGGATGGATGGAAAACAGGGGTGAGAGAAGAGGAAAGGAGCATTCAGGCATTTGTATATCTCCTTGAAAGCTAGGGGATTCATTCAGTTTTGAAAGCACACGGCAGCCAAATATTTCCTGACAGCCACTTGAACACTTCCAACAGAAACAGAGCTGGAATTTGCTGCTGATCCAAATGGAAGAATTTACTTTCTTAGCAGCTCCATGTTAGTTTGAAAACCAAACTGCCTCATCCCTCCCAGACACACCCTGTTTTAGTATCTCTACAAATGACTGATTAACAGGATCATTTTGTTTACTTAAATGGGCAAATGTAGAGACACATTAAAGTGTCAACAAAAAGATATTATGTCCTTTCTCCATGCAATTTAAAAAAAAAAAAAAAAAAAAAAAAAAAAAGAGCAATCTAGACCCAGTCTGGAGCAGTGACTCACCCCATATATATTCCACTTTTCAGAGGAACCTGTGGTTTTGCTGCTTTTCATGACAAAGGCTCCAGATATGAGAATACAAGTCAGTCAGCTTTAGCTAATTAAAAATACTTCAAAACCCATACATCTCTGACCACTAACCCAGCACATATCAGTCTTGCTTTAGGAATAGCGAGCCGGACAGCCAGGCACTCATTCCCCCCAGCAAACACAGCAAGTGCCAGAGCCCTCGGGCTTGCAGAACAACTCTGATGCAGCCATCTTGCTAATTTGGAGGGAATCCTGGTGATTCAGCTGATGTAGGATCTGGCCCCCAGGCTTCCTGTGGCTCACCCCATCCTCCTCATCCTCCCTGTTTTGCAGGTAGGGCTGGGCTCTGCCAAGAGCCACATCAGAGAACAGAGTGGCCATCCGCACTCCTTTGCTTTCCTGGCTCCATTCATGCCTGTCCCCAGCTCCTTTTGCCAGATGCATGAATCTTGGTCACCACAAAGTCCCTTCTAGCCTGCTGCTGCAAGGGCCATACCTCTGCTGCCACATGGACCCCCTCCACAGGGGCCAGAAGCATCACGACCATCCTGGCATGGCTGCACAAACTCCAGAGCTGTTGGGCCAGCCCAGGGCAGCCACTCTGCTCAGGGCAAAGCAGTGAGGGAAGCAAGTCCCTGGCGAGGGGTGAAAAGCCTGAGTTTTCTTTGCGTCCC